TTGCACCACACACACACACACACACACACACACACACACAACAACTTGGGCTTGCAGCTGAAAACTTCTTCCGCTAAATTGATTCCGTTGAAAACAAGTGCACAACGCACAACGGACTAGGGACTACGGACTAGGGACTCCGACAGGCAGGAACATGAAGGAAAAGCCAGAGGAGTGTGAAACAAAAGCTCATCAGGATAACAGACAAATGCACTTATGCAACGCAACAACCGAGCAACCGAGCAACGACAGCTGCACACATCCCATATACTTTTTTTTTTTTTTTTTTTTAATTTAACCGCTACAGCAAAGTTTGTTGGTCTTCAGACGATGAGTCCACATTGACCAGGTACTTTATGATGAAAATTAGAATACTGAAAAGAGTTGCTTGCCGAAAGAACACTCTGATCTTGAGCAAAAATTAATTAAAATATCAGCATCAATAGCCGAGTCGATTGAGCCATGTTTGTCTGTCCGTCCGTCTGTCCGTCCGTCTTGTTGAGCGCCTGGATCTCAGAGACCATAAAAGCTAGAGCCACCAAATTTTGCATCCAGACTTCTGTATGCTCACACTGTTACAAGTGTATTTCAAAAATAGAGCCCCGCCCTCTTCCTCCCCCGCAAAAGGGCGAAAACCTACCAAACCTACAAGTTCGAAGATAAAAGAAAACATAAGACGCCATTCCGTAGGGAAGGAAAATATCTATCAGATCACCAAATTGGGATTCGATTGGATCATTATTATAGCCACAATGAAGACATTAATTTGCAGTGGCTAAACCCGCAGCTTTTGTTGTTCTTTTCACATTCTCTCAATCTCACTCGGCCTCTGCCGCTGCCGTCCCTCTGACGACTTTTAACCCACCCCGTCCCACAGCTTATATATGTTTTTTTTTTGTGTGTTTTGTTATGACAAAACACCGCTAAGGTGCAGATGTAGTACTGAGTGCCGGGTATAAAAGTTGTGACGCGTAAGAAGCGTCTCACACGTCCCTCCTCGTTTGTGTGCAGATAAGATCTTCGAAGTGCAGATAAATAAATAAATATCCATTGATTATTTACTTTAACTGTCTTTGGTAAATGTCATTCAAGGCAGTGTTGGAAAACGAACAGCGCCTGTTCCTCTTTGAAAATTGCTAAACAACAAAAAGTACTGTTAAAGGTCACAGTATTTCCCAAGCTAGCAGGCCATGCTTTTCATGAAATGACAAGCCATCAATTGCAAGTCACTCAAACCATTTTCAGTTGTCGTGTGGCAAGAATCAGTGCGAAAATTTGTGATATTTTGCAAGTAAGATCTTTTTAGCATTGAAAACAAGAAACATGAAGCGCAAACTAGATAGGGAAAAGGAGGAGGCTATTCCTCTCAAGAAGACAAGGAAGTCCACAAATAATGAAAAGAAGAAGATTCCACCCGAGGTGGCAAAAAAGACCAAAAATAATAAAAAGAAGGAGCCGATTCCTCCGAAGACGGCAAAGAAGGCAGAAAACAACAAAAAGAAGGAGAAGAATCCTCCGAAGAAGGCGAAGAAGACAGAAAATAACAAAAAGAAGGAGAAGATTCCTCCGAAGACGGCAAAGAAGACAGAAAATAACAAAAAGAAGGAGAAGAATCCTCCAAAGACGGTGAAGAAGACAGAAAAAAACAAAAAGAAGGAGAAGAATCCTCCGAAGACGGCAAAGAAGGCAGAAAATAATAAAAAGAAGGAGCCGATTCCTCCGAAGACGGCAAAGAAGACAGAAAATAATAAAAAGAAGGAGATTCCTCCGAAGACGGTAAAGAAGGCAGAAAAGAATAAAAAGAAGGAGAAGAATCCTCCGAAGACGGTAAAGAAGACAGAAAATATTAAAAAGAAGGAGAAGAATCCTCCGAAGACGGTGAAGAAGACAGAAAATAGCAAAAAGAAGGAGACGAATCCTCCGAAGACGGTAAAGAAGACAGAAAATAACAAAAAGGAGAAGGAGATTCCTCGGGGGTCGGCCGGAAAGATCGAAGACATTGAAAAGAATGTGATCCCTAGGAGGTCGGCGAGAATTAGCAAACCGGTGATATACATACATTTCGGAGACCCGGTCAAGACTCGTCCGAAGAGGACAATGAACAAAAAGAGCTCCGCTACCATTAGAGGAAGGTGAAATCTATGCAACTCGAGGACGAGTCAACTCAATTTCTTAGTTACTTTCTCCATTTAAAGGTTGCCAACAGATTCCACCCGGATGCGGCCGTTGTATGCGGAATGCCAAGAAATGCTCAAGAAAATTGAAGGCGTGAGTGAATATATTATACGATTCAAAGCGGAAAACCAAAACACTATTAAGGAACTGAAAGAGTGCGTTGGCACACAGCTGCACTCTATAATTTCACTAATTTCTTCTCTAAATTTGTCCATTTTCAGTACCTATGCGGAGCTTGAGTCGGAAATTCTGAAAGATAGGAAACACTTGACGAAACAGATTAAGAAAGAAATTAAGGAAAAAATGAAGGCGAAAAAGATGTACGTCTAAGCACCAAATTCTATGAATTTAAAAAGTAATCATTTGAAATAATTGTAGTCTTAAAAGGAAGAAGCGAATGGAAGCGCAATGCCCACGCCATTCGCGATGCAAAAGCATTTGAAAGGAAAGAAAGAATACTCGTCCAGCACTCCGTTGAGGATTCAATGCTGCTGCTGCCGCCGCCTGTGTGGTATCTTCAGTCTTTGTTTCTTTGCCGGCCAGAATTAAAGCTAGAAAAACAATTGTTTTAAATGATTGCATGTTGACTTTTAGGGGGAACTTTGCCAATGATTAAGACAGCTTTTGGGAGACAATGTAGTCTGTACACTTTGCATACATAACCATGTACAGGCCGTTCAGAACATCCGACCCAAAGAATGCGCAGACCATAAATACAACTACATGTACTCGTGGCACATGCTGGCAAGCATTCGATTTCCATATGCCCTCCACACACCCAAGACCTTGCTAGAGACCTGCCCCTAAAGATGCCAACTACAAGCGCATCAAATGTGCCATCAGGTCTGGGCCATGGGCTTAATGCCAGCCAAGAGGCACTCTTACACTGTGCAACAGAATATTGGCAGCTGCCAGCGACTATGGCAGTTCAGTCCCCAAAGGCTCTTCATAATATTTGTTTCATACTTATAGCAAAATATTGCAAATATTTCAAGTCCATTTTTGCATCTCTTAAAGCCTTTTGTAAGCGATACTCGTTACATTTCATAATTACAAGCGGACATTTAATTTTTGCACTCCACAAAAGAGAAAAGAGTTCTCTCTGTGGTAGCGATGTGCAGTGCTCGTCGACACTGACAAGACAGACAGCGCCGGAGTGAGGACAGAGCAGCTGACAGGCCGAGTGGTGGGCGAGTGGTAAGCGGCGAGTGGCGAGTGGCGAGTGGCGAGCAGAATGTGGCCAATGGATGCTACATCAGAATGGCATGACAGGAGAGCATGTTACACTGTGCATTTACATAGAAAATTTGAAAGTTTTGGATGAATAGTTCGGTTGAGATTTGCGCTTGATTTGTTTTGCGGTCTGGCCATTTAATTGCATTTGAGTTGCTGTCAGTTGGTCAAGCCAGACAGCGACATGGACAAGGACAAGCAGATTGGGAGCGGGTGGACGGGCTTAAATCAAATTTAAAACTATGCCGTGTCCTGCCTGTGTCCTGATAAATTATCCATGCATGCATTTTATATATTCATGTACATATGTACACATGGTGGAGGAGGGACTTGCACATGGCGTGTACTCGTACTCGTAATGCATGCACACTTAAGGCCTCAAGAGTGCCAGCCAAATGGCATGACAGAGATGGATACAGACAGATACGAGAGCGAGAGAGAGATACCACACTCGGGGGTGGCAGAAAAGCTTAGCAAAATACTTTCATAATAATCTTTATGGCACAACGAACGAGCTGGGGCAGGGCACAGCCTGCACGAAAAATGGGCAAAACAGTTACCAAAAAAAAAAAAAAAAAAAAAAGAAAAAAAAAAACGAGGGAAAAACTGGTCCTTGTCTAGGATAAAGGGCAACTCCGAATGGAAATGCTGTACACTGTCCATGGTTTTCTGTGTTGTTTTTTGTTTTTTGTTTTTTTTATGAACTGAATGTTGATGGTACTGCTGCGCCAGCCACAAAAGCTTTGGCTTTGGGCGTGCTTTGAGGGCTTAAGGAAACGCTAACGAATCCAGCGCGTCCTTGCAGTTGGCTCAGGCCATTTCCAGCTGATCGCAGACTGCCCCTAAAGGATCGCCTGCTGTGGCACCTCTCAGTCCTTTTGGGGTCAGTGTAGCCCTGCTGCTGGCGTGTGAACATTTTCCACCATTTTGTTTGTTCTGCCAAAAATGCTAAAAGCAAAGTTGGATTATATATGTACAAATGTGTGTGAGAGTGTGGGTGTATTACCCCCCCCCCCCCCCCTGCTGTGTGAGTGTGTGGCCAAAAAGTTGAATGTGCTCCAGCGCAGCACCAGCCCGTGGCAAGGTGAGTTTTATATGCAATAATTTTCTTTTTTTTTTTGCCGGGCTGGGGGTAACTCCAACTGGAGCTCCAACTGGAGCTGGATTTAATAAATTCTAATGTTTGCTTACCTTGCCCAAAAGGCTTTCCAGTCCAGACACACACACACACATGTGAGAGCGGGGGGCCACAATGTGAGAGCCAAATGGGAGCCAGGAGCCAGGCGCCAGGCGCCTGCACAGCAGATTTACTTTTATTGCAAATTGCAATCCTGCACTCTCCGCCCTGCCCCTCGGCAGCTCTTATGGCTTGGCTCCGCATAGATATAGACATTTGGATGAATGAGTAGACAGACACACAGGAGAAGGAGAAGGAACTGCAACGATAACCGCAGCTCCACATTGACGGACAGCACCCACACACATGAGCCAGGTGCAGGCATCAAAAGCTGAAAGGAAATTCAGATAGGAACTAAATGAGAGAGCTCCCAAGGCAATGGATGGACTGGCAGGAAAGTATCCAAATTGCAATAATTGAGGAAATTGTATTTTATTCAAGCTGCAAATTTGGATCAGCGAAACCAATGCCAGAACTGCCACCATCTATGGGAGCGGGCGGCGGTCTGGCGACTGGGCGCTGGCATGGCCTGCGGTGGGGTCATGGGCATCATGGGCATCGTGGGCGGCCCCTCGTCGGCCAGTTCGTCGACGCGTGCCTGTGTGGCGCGCGTGACGCAGTTGCGGTACACCTCCATGACGCTGAAGCACTTCATTGCCTGCTGGCTGTTGTCGCGCAGGCAGCGGGTCATCTTGCCGGCAGCCTCCAGGCAGGGACGCTCCCCCACCTCCGTCAGATGATCCTGCTGCCCGACGAGCAGTCGATCGAACTCCTCATGAATGGCCTCCGCGGTTCTGCGGCAGTGGAATTCTACAATCAAAAGGAGTTGAACGAGCGGCAGCTCTACTCACAATCTCTGCACATTGCCCGACTTGGATTTGCTTCGCTTCGGCTTCGCCTCCGAAAGCTCCCGTGGCGCCGTCTCTGTCGCACTTCCTGGCCGCACTGTGGGCACATTTGCAGCCTGCTGGGCGCTGCCCAACACGGCACCCATTTCGTCTGTGTGTGAATTTTTCAATTTATTTCGGAGAGCAAAAAGTTTTTGTGGTTTTCGAGTAGTGTCTGTGTTTGGTCAAAGATGTGGAATTTTCATGCCTGGAAAATTCAGAGTGCCAAATGAAAGGAAAATCAAACCAAGTGTGATCATAAAATATAAATATTCCATTGCCAAACAAATATTTGCTGTCCCCAGAATATGCCTGCAGAAGTGCCCTTCATTAGGTCTGTTTTGTTTTAATTTGTAAGCAAAGTACAACTAATTGAGTGGACAATTGAGTGCCTGTTTTTGGCACCAAACAATGAATTGATTAACTCTTGACGGTGCTGCAACAAATAGCAAGAGGAAGAGCAATTCGGTGGGCAAATTAAGAGAAGCTGATTCGCGGGCAGAGCAAAGAGCAACAGCAGCAGCAGCAGCAGCAGCTCACGTCAGCTCAGTGACTGCAGCGCAGAATTGAGCAAATGCTCTCTCCACTCTCATTTGCAGTGAGTCGATCGCCGCTCCCCAAATAAAAGTGCATAATAAGCATAGCAAGTGTTATTACGGTAAATGACACTCTTCTTATACGAAATGTTCTGGTCAGATTCCAGCCGAATCCAGCTGAATATTCCTTCCAGGTGCTGCTCCTCATTGTGCGGTGTCGGCTGGAGAAGTTTTTTTAGCTTAATTGCGCATTAGAGGGAAAAGTTTTCTTGTTTGCTACAAATGACCGCCACATTGGTAAAGTTGAGCGGGTGGGGAGGGGGGTACTAGACAATTTGGCGATGAGCAAAGTCCGTCAATTGCAGGTGCCCCAAAAACTTGAGCTCCCCAAACCTCCCATCGACCCGACTGCTTCGGTGGGCTGCTACTTGGTCCAGCACTAATCAAGCAAAAAGTGAGCCCCCCCCCGCAACGGACCCCTGCGACACTCTGCGGGAGCTTCGGGCGCGCACACAAAAACTTCCTTCCGTTACCCCGCCCCCACCACGCGCGTCATTGCTGTCTCGGCGAGCATAAAAAAGTCAAGAAGTTTGTTGTTGGCCTCTCGGCGGCGCTATTTGGCATTTCGTTATTGGAATTTTCATTGGCCACAAAAATACTTTTTCGATTAAACTTTAACGGCGCGTAAAATGCCGAGCGATGCCAAATAGCCGGAAAAATGCCAACAAAGAAAGAGAGAGGGAGAGAAAGTCCAAATGCCAAATCAGAAAATGATTAATTACAAAATGTTTTGGCGGAGTGCCGGCTGCTCGTGGTGCCGTGCTTCCAGGTCCTTGCTCGAGTGCGTGGCCTGGGTGGCCTGCCAAATGCCAATTAGCGAAAATATTTCACGTAGCCCATCCCAGCGACGCGGACTAATGGAAATAAATTAGTTTGGCCAGAGCTGCCAGAGCTGCCCACATCAAGAATGTTAAACACGAAGCACACTTAGCCCACCCTTAGGTCCCGACTGTGGCCCATTGAAGCATCTCCCAGCCATGTCAGCACTTGGTCAGGCCATTGCGGAAATGGTCAATGGCCAAATGGAAATCAGCATCGCGGACAAAAACTGAAAGGAGGAGCGGCACGGACATGAGACCAACCAACCCCAACCACTCGTTAACAGTTGCAAAATATTCACCCAGAAGGCAAGCAAATGTCACATTCACATTCCCATTCCCATTCCCATTCCCCATTCACATTGTTGCAGGGCACTCGATTCTCCATTCTCTATGCGCCAGCGATAGAGAAGCGATGCGGAAAGTTCATTGGATGCCAGCGGGGCAGCATGGCCACTGTGGCACTCATTTCGCATGTCGGACACCGCAGGAGGCATCCTCGCTCGAATCGAGGCAGTTTGCTCGCTCTTTTATTTGAATTTTTTGCTCGCAGCAGCAAAGTTTGATCCACGCCCAGTGCTCTCATGATCATGCTGAAATATAAGGATTACAATCAACATGAAAATCAAGCGTCAAAAAGTTTTTACCACCACGTAATCCGCAGCAGTTTTTCATCTTCAGCAAGGCCCGCTGGATGTTGCTTCTGTAGCTGGAGCTCTCTGACTCTGGCTCTGGCTCTGCCAGATGTGCGATGTGGTGGCTTCAGCATCAGCATCAGCATCAGCATCAGCATTAGCTGAAGCACGTTCAACTTTCCAGTGGCACGCGAAACCGCACAAAATGTCGCTGCCCCACCACTTCCGAAACCTCTCGTACTTCATCACTCCCTCACGCGCCAGCCCCTGCCCCTGCCCCCGGCTCCACGCTCACTCTAGCTTTCTGCGAATTTTTCGCACATTTTTCTACTCTTTGTTGCCCTTTTCTCATGGAGCATATCCCATTCGGGTTGCATTTAAAACCGACTCTAAGTAGGGGAAAAATATATTCCCAAAAAGGATTCGGAGTCTCCCCAACTGTGCTAGCTGCAGTTTGATTTTTGTCGCTGTACCGATATCATGGCCAGCATAAATCAGTTCCACTTGAGGGTATCCTTGTGCCGTGATAGTCTCCTGTCGCATATTTTTACTTTCTTCCGTTTGCTGGTGGCTGCCGTCGGCACTGGCTCCTCGCTGGCTCTATTTTTCAGCATATAAATTTTCGTTCAAGTTGAAAAGTTTCACATACTCCTGTCACGTAACACGCAGGGGGCTCCAGTGGCTGTAGCATGGGTCTACTTCTCCGCTCGACGTTCTACGGTCTACGGTCTACGGTCTACAGTCGCGTGCTGGGCTGCACTGAGGTCATGCCACGCCGTGGCATGCGGGGTCGGACGCCTTCGTCCGCGTCGCTAATTTATGGCCTGACATTAGAATGCAATCATATTCACTTAAAAAAGTGCATAACTTTTGGCTTCCCCATTCAAAAGTGTTTGTCATCGCCGCTTCAACCCGCTCTCGTGTTGCACAAACAACTTTTATTGCACTCAAGTTTAATTGCTGCACAGATTGTTGCTAATCGCGCGTGTGCCGCATGGGGCGGGTGCTGCTGGCTGTGGTCTCAGCTGTGGTTGCAACTGATATTTTAGTTAATTTAATTATGCATACAGAAGAGGCAGGAATCGTATTAAAATATGCAAAGTTCTGCTAAATATTAAAGTATATTTTTGCACTTTTCTATCCACTTTTTTATACCAAAAGAATAACTGTCCTGAGATAGTGCGGCAGTGTAGCAAGCGATCAGCTTTGCGTTGAATTTTGTTTGTGGTGCAATCTAGCTGGAAGGATTATTTGCATGCGTACGAGGATGTGCACACGGGACCACAGGCCACCACTGGCAGCAGGCATTAAGCGCCAACACAGAAAAGGTTGGGCTGTGGGCGCCGAGGTGCAGAAACGAATAAATAAATCTCATCATAAGCATGCATATGCAAATCAATAAAATCTAAGCCCCATCGCTGGATGGCACAGGCAGCAACTGACCCGTAACATGTGTCGCATGTCCCCAGCGATGCCTGTGCATGGGTGTGCATGTGTATATGTGTGTGTGTGTGTAATATAAGCCGCAAAAAAGATTTCGACAACGAGCGCCAGCAAAATGTGAAAACCGAAGAATTAGTGCCCTGTTGCCTGTCCCTGACCCGCATGACCACTGCCAGGATATGCTAACAACAAGGTGAGGGTCACTTTTGCTCGTATTCGAGGGCCTAACTCCAAGCTGGTATAAGGGTAAAGATATAAAGCACACGCCTCACCCCATTAGTAACCAACCATGAGCAGTTCGTGCTGGAAGGGGGTGCACGGAGAGCAGTGCGTCCTCGCATAATCTTTGTGCCATTCTCTAGCGTCAACGTTTGGCGTCGACGTCACACAGTGGGGCCGGGCCGCCACAAACGAAAGCAGCTTGAAGAAGTCATTTCACCGAGTGCTCTTGATAAGTTTATTTTATATTTATGAGATGTTTTAATCTTTTTCTTTTTTGAGATAAAATATATGAGAGAATAGGTGGGAAAACTTTGATCAAGAATCATCTCACTTGTGGAAAATAATTGCACAGGAAAAAATTACCATAAAAATACCACAATAAAAAAACTTTGCACATCAAAGTTAATGAAATGTCTTGACCGAATTATATGCCAATTCTTTTTTATTGGCTTGTAATGTTTTGCTGTAAGCTTGAACTTGGAAAATGTAACAAAAAGAAAATGTCGAAATATATTTATTTAATAACTTCTTTCAGAAATTGCTAATTTATAAAGCTTCCATACCCGAAGGCTCCACTGTGCGCCCACGAATCCCCAGGCTGGCAGTTTACAATTTACGGCACACATTCTCACCCACACTCCCACTCGCTCTCTCGCAGCCACACTCTCTCCCACTGCGCTGCCTCCCCCATTCGCTGCCGCTGCTGCTGCTGCTGCTGCCGCTGCTGCTGCTGTTGATGATGTTGTTCTCTTTTCATAAGCGTACGTGTGTGTCCCAGTGTGTGTGTGAGGTGTTTGGTTAAGCACATAATTAATACGAAATTTGATTGCCTCTGCCGCTATGGGACAGCACAGGAAGAAGCAGCAGCAGCGACAGGCGTCGGATGCGGGCGTGGTACGTGTGGATATGTGTGCGTGTAGGAGAGAGTGAGAGGCGCGTGGGTAGAAGGTGGAAAGTCAAATTAAAGTAAACCCGACTGACTGACGCTGTCTTCCAGCGTGCCACCTCCCCGCCTACCCCCGTAAGCGGTTTGCCGCTTAAACGCTTGCGGTTTAATTAATCGACTCACTAGCCGCCTTCCATTACCCCTCCAACGCCCCTTGGAGTGACTTCCTGCCGTTGTGGTTTTACCTCACCCTCCTCCCACTCACTTATTGCTTTGTGTTTTTCAATGTGAATGAAGCCTTTTTAATAAGTTGGCCAAGTGCCGTGGCCCACGCCACCCTACCCCAAAAGCGACCCTTCAGTCTGCCAGTCAGGGAGTCCTGTCTGGCGGCAGATAAAAAACTTTAACTTTTGTTGGCGGTCGCTTCTTATGGCCGAAAATAAATCAAGCACCAAACTACTTTTTGTCTTGAATGATTAATTAACTGCACTTTTTGCTCGACCACGTCCGCCGCACGCTGCCTCCGACAGATTCATGGCTCCCCTACCCAGCTCCACCAACTTTGGCCACACTCTCGACTTTTGGGTATTTACCAGTCAGA